TCCTTTTCTGCTTAAGGTGTTCAACTTAGGGGCTTCTCAGATACAGCCCATCACTGGAGAGACGGCTTAGCAGTTACGAACACCGACTGTTCTTCCAGAGGACTCAGGTTCAGTTCCCAGCACCCGCATGGTAGGGCAGCTCACAACTGTCTGTAACTCCAGTTCCAGGGGATCTGATACCCTTAGACAGACAGAACAAAACATTAATGCTCATAAAAATAAAAAATTAATTAATTTAAAAAAGATATAGCTCATAATAAATTAATTTTTAAAAAGATATAGCCCATCATAAATCGAAGAGCATTGGTGCAGGATAAAAACGTCTGGTGATATGAGAAAGCATCAAGACTAGAATTTAAAAATATTCTCCATGCTCCTAGCCCAGAGTCACCACTGGGATGTGTGTCTACAGGAACACATTTTATGTGGAGTTCTGTCCTCATTATTTACATTTATGACTAACTATCCTTGATGACATCATCTGTGGTCCAAACCTACACAAATGGCTTTGGGGGATGTTTACAGGTGTGGACTTGCCCCGAGTGCAAAAATTCACATCTTCTAGCAATACATGACTTTCTCAGCTGAGGTTGAACAGGATGGCGTTTGGCTCTCTTGTTTTTGCTCTTGTGTCCTGATAATTGGGGTTTTTTTTCTACCTTTTACATTTGTGTGTTTTTTGTTGGTAATTTCAATATTATAAACAGCCACAAACCTGGACTGAGGTACAGCTTGGGACCCTGAGTTAGAAAGGCCCACTGGGCCTCATGTGTGTGCATGAGTTAGAAAAGCTTCATTCAGGCTGTAGTGATGGAGCTGCTGGCCATTGAGTTCAATATGAATGAACTAACCATACATATTAATAAGGTGTCCTTAAACGTAAGCACAGGTGATGAAGTCATATATTGATCTGATGATAAAAAGGCCTGAAAACTTGGACCATGACTCTGTTTCCCCAAGAAGTAATGCTTAAGTATTGACCGAGCCCCTGGTCCTGGCAGCGCTGTGGAACAGAGCCACTTCAGGTGGCAAGAAGCAGCTGTGCATTTGTGTGTGTGTGGTGTAGCATGTGTGAATTTGTGCATATGTGAAGCATACATGCATATAATTATGTGCAGCTATCCCTTGGTGCCCACGAGGGCTTGGTTCCAGCCCCTCTTCTCCCACGGGCCTCAAAACCTGCAAATGCTTATGTGAAATTGCACAACATTTGCATGTAACCCACGCACATCCTCCCATGTGCTTTCTGTATCTCTAGGCCACACACGATGCTGATACCTGGTACCAAAGGAGATGCCGTGTGAACAACGTTAGGCTATACTGGTGGGAATAAGGACTAGAAGGAACGCGCTGTATACGTTCAGTACAAGCCAGTGCCGTCTGCCATTCCCACCCCGCGTGTAAAACCTCAGGCACAGAGGTCAACCGTGACTGCCCTGAAGCCGAGGTGACTGGCTTCAGTGTAAGAGCTTTATCTAACCCTATAGTTCTGTTAGTTGTGCAGATCCCCTGGTCTTGCCAGAAGGGTGTCTGGGTGGTGTTTCCAGAGAGTCCTCTGGCCACTGGGTGCATTGTGTCCTCATGGATTTATAGTGCTGTGTCATTGCTGAGAGGCCAGCCTGGTCAGAAGTGGGCTGTCATCTGTGTGCCTCAGAGGCTGCATCTCGCCGTGAACCTTTTCTCTTTTCCCTTTTCCCTACTTCCGGCCACCACAGTATGCGCGGCTCTAATCCACCCTGTCCTCCCTCCATGAAAGGCTGGCACCTCTGAAACCATGAGTCCGCGCTCTCCTTTTATGTTGTTTATATGAGGCCACCTGTCACAGTGACTGGAAAACTAACACGGTGACAGTTAGGACAGGGTCTCACTGTGTAGCCCAGGCTGGCCTTGAACCCCTAATTTTTGTACTTCAGCTTCCAAGTGCGGGGTTGCAGGCTGTACTGTCATGCCCAACCTTGTGGGTGTTTTTCATCTTATCTGTGCTAACAGATTCACAGTTGTGCTACGTTGCTATGACAAAATGCCTGAGGTCACGAGTTCTAAGAAGGGAAAGCTTGCTTCGGCTCAGATTTCCAGGGATTTGTGAGGACAACATTACCATGGTGGGAGTGTGTGGTGGAGCATGTTGGCTGTGAAGAGAAAGACAGGAAGGGACAGGGTTTCTAGCATGTGCTTTAAGGGCAAACCCCCAGTGACTTAGCTTCCTCCTCTGGGCTCCACCTGCTGATAAGGTTGCACCGCAGGCTGGTGACCGTGGTCCTGGTGAGGACACTCACCAAACGATGGTGTTGCTTCTCATCACTGTCTGGTCTACTTTTCTCCAACCCCTGGTGGCAATGTCACCTTCTCACCGGCCTTCCTGCCATCCATCTATCCACTCCAGTGACTTGTCTGACCAAGTCTGTTATCCGCCTCTTGTAATTGAGTTAGTAGGTTTTCTGTTCATGAGTTCCGAGGCTTTTAAAAAGACATTCCATATAGATGCCGTTTCTTCACTCGGCTTTCTTTTGTGCAAGCAAATGCTTGTCATGGAATCATTTCTTGCATGGTGTTCTCCCACAAGGCCTTTTCAGGGGGAGATATATTAAAATGCCAGTGGAGATCCTGAATTCAGCCAGCCTGGCTTGAGTCAGGTGCAGGTCCCCTTTTGTGCCGGGCCCAGGCAGTGCTGTATTTGGCCAGGCGGAAAACAGGCCTCCCAAAGGCAAAGCAGTGAGAAAGGAGATAATTCTCCAAGAGAAACTGGTACTCAAGCCAAAAAAGGGGGGAAGGGAACCAGGCTGGAGCATGGGTTGACCACAGCGTGGGAGAATCCAGTGAGCACTGCTAATGTGTATCGGGCGCCAGACAAAGGCTCATTCATAGCTGTTCATTATCGTGCCTGATTCTCAGGGAGGCTGTTGTCTGCATTCCAGAGTGAAGGGCACCACAGCCGGGGAGGCCAGTACCTTGTGAGTGTCCCATAACAGCAGAGAGGTGTGTGCCGTCCTCCAGCCCTGAGCTCGCAGGGCTGACCTAGGACAAACCTCATGACAGAGTCTGCCTTGTGCCTAGAAGCACTGCGTAGGATTTGTTCAGGGCTTCATTCCTGTAAGGCGGTGGGCCTGCCGCAGTTGAGTCCAGGACGGACTCATGCGTGAGGAAGCTTCCCATACATGGGAAGGTACTTTGTGTCAATTTTAAGAAAAACAAAATATTCGGCAGTCTTTCTTAATTTTTTTCTTTTATTCTTTAATGTTAGTGTCCTTTGCAGCCAGCTAGCCAAACTTGGCTTGGACATCTCCAGGGACAGGGACCTCTGATACTGTTTTCACTTTCTAGGCCTCAGTTTACCCAACTAGAAGATAAAGTCATTAGCTTAGCTGAGTTCTGCCGTTTCTTTCCTCTTTACCTTCTTCAGTTTCCATCCCCAGCACCATTATGTGTATGTATATATGTGTGCATATGCACATGTAAATATGATTAATATATGTCTATCATATATGTCAATCATATATCGCACATGCCTGGATTTGATCTCTACACGTGGTGTGTGTATCAGATGATCATAATATACCTCATAAATATGTACAAGTGAAAATGATGAGCTATTTTTACTCTAATTATACAGATTTATTATAATTACACATAGCTCTCTGTGGACCAAATGGTAATTATTGGCTCGGGAAACAGGTGTCTGTAGACTTAGCTTCGAGCTGAACTAGATACGGTCAGAGAGCATCCTCCGAGTTTCCTTACGTTGTTTCGTTCTGGGGCCGACCTCACCGCAGACATGGTAAGATGGTGCAGCCTCGGAAGAGGAGCACTGGTCTTTCTCCAGAGTTTGCGCTAAAGTCCCAGGCCTGAGGCTTTACTGACCCTGATTGGTCTAGCTCAGGTCACATGTTCACCTCTTCACACCACCGTGGATAGTCCCTCCTCTGTTTAAGGGACTGGACAAGATGGAGAAAGAGGCTCCCTGGAGAAAAGTTAATGTACCTTGGTCACACTGCTGGCCAGAGCCAACAGGGACCCGCTGCTGTCCTCACTGGGTTCCTGCCAGCGGACACCTCAGTTTCCCCAAGTTTGTTATCAGTGTATTGTCTCCTGTGTGTGCTGTTACACATGATCAAGGTCAGAGACGTGTCCTCTGGTTGCTAGGATGACTTATGACCTTATTTTGCTAGACCTTCATATAACTTGGGAAACAGAGGAGGCGGGTGCTGTTAGCCACTTCCCAGATGGAGAAGCTGAGACTCAAGGGACATCTGAGTTGGCCTGAGTCCTCACTGGTGGAAACACCAGGGCCCTCAGTATTCAGATAATAGAAGATTACTTTAACAGATGCAAGTGCCCTGACTTCTCTTGATAAACGTGAAGGTTTTAAGAATTACTCCAACAGAAGAACCACGTGGGGAGAGCCAGGCGCCCTCACAGTGCTGGGAGTGCAGCTGCCCCATGCTGACCTTGTCCCATCCCTGACAAATCTGCAGGCAGGGGCTATCATTCCCCTTCTGTTAAGGAGGGCGCTAAGGCTCCAAGACAACAAGGGACTGACTGGTCCAGCTGGTCCTTGGCCAAGTTGAGTTTTTCTGGGTTTTTCTTGCCTCAAACTCCTCTCAGGGATGGAGGATTTTCTTAGCCTGCTTTGTGTTATTGTAATAGAATGGCACCAGGTAATTGGAGGGTAATTGGTGGGTAATTGGAAAGAATGGACATTTATTCCATGGAAACTGGGAAGTCTACAGTCAAGCGACTGACGTCTGACGGGACCTTTATGATGCTAATCATAGTAGAAGGTGGATGAGAGATTAGGAGGGGACAGGTGGACTAAACTCACTTTTCTGAGAAACCCACTGGGCATCGTGAACCCACCCCCGAGCTAATACCTCTAGCCCATTGGAGACCTCTCAAAGGTGCACCTGCTGACACCGTTCCATGGGAATGGACCGGAAGAGGATGATTTCCAACCCTGTCATCCCCCTGTGGTTAACACTCATCTCCTCTGTCCCTCCCTGCAGGTCTACATCATCCGAGTCACGTGGTCCAGTGGTGCCACAGAGGCCATCTACCGGCGCTACAGCAAGTTCTTTGACCTCCAGGTAGGTGTTTGTGATGGGGAGAAGGTGAATGGGCTTTCCCTATGCTCTGACTTTAGAGCCTTGTCTCTTCATGGTCTTGACTCTAAATTGACATCCATTACTTGGAGCCTAAATATGGTTTTTGATTACCTTATGTTTTGACACATTTAACTGAATAAGAGGTACTGTTGACTGCCCCTGAAGGGGGGTGGAGGCAGTCTGGAGGTCATACATGGCTCTAGAGCCATGTTGAACCAAGTTTTGTACAGTGACCAGGTGGTGATCCAGGATGCTGAGTCTGTCTCCCCAGCCCCACCTGCTAGCTTTTACAGTACTGCCTCTCACCTGGGTTGCTTCTCTGTGCTCTCCTTCCTGAACCATTGGCCTGGATGACTCTTCCTCGCCAGGGTCCCCAGCTTCTGGAAGCCTTGTCTGACTTTGTTCTTTGCTCTTCGGGAGCTATCACCTTTGGCTGTGAACTTCTTCATACTGATGTTCTCAGCTTATCTGTCTCTTCTAGACTGTGACAGGCATGGGTAGGGACCTTGTTTCCCTCATCCTTTCTTTCCTTAATGCTTTTATTCAAGGCCTGGCACAAAGCACACGCCTACTTAGAGATTGATGCATGTTTGCATGAGTGAGTGAGTATGTGAATGAATGGATGGATGGATGAATGAATTAATCAATCAATGAATGAATGAACGAATAAACAAACAACATGCACCACCAGCCTCACTGTGAGCCGGGGAACGTGAGGACAGCTCAGTCGGATTCATCTTCACTAGCATGACACAATGCTAATCCTGGGCCTGTAGCTTCATCTCCATTCCTCCAAAAGCAGGCAGCTCCAAGGAGGCCGGAGAAGTCAGGGTCCTTCAGGAGATGATGTGGCAAAGTTCTTTAGACAATGTCTGTCTCAGACACTAGGGGATGTTCCTGGCTGCTGTGTGCTGAGGGTCCAGGGCAAGTCTCCATCCCACGATGCCCTACTAGTGACAGAACCAACTCAGGTTTGCTTTGGGTATTTCGGCCAGGTGGTTGACTGCCCCGGGAGGAGAGGGCTTCCAGGCTTCCTGCTCCGCCTACTGCAGGGCTTTCACTCTGTCATCTGACCTGACTTCTCCGTCTGTGTCCCCACTTCAGTGGTGTTGGCTTCATCCTCTCTCACACGTGATTGCAAATGGCTCCAGCAACTCTGGGCTCGCGCTCTGTAGGAAAGAGTAACAGTGATTTCTCACATGTGCTGGCAGTCACTCCGTGTTTCATTGGCCCAGCTCTATGCCAATCACTATGACAACCAATGGTCTTTCCTGGGTTGCTCTTCCACCCTTGGTATCAAGGGCATAGTCTGGGTTGGGAAGGAGAATCTTGGGTTCTGGTAATATTAACTGCAGGCATCCTTGACTACATAGACCCAAGCTGTTCCTGACAGTGTGGACTAGAGACTGTCCGGAGCCTGTATCCCACTATGACTGCTTTCTCCTGTGCAGCTAAAACAGTCTCTAAATGCCTTCATGACACACAGTCAGGCGCTGCTGCATTGTGTGAAGTGAGGGAGATACCAGCCACTTAATTATTTAAAACCTCACGAGCTCATCTGCGATGTTTTGTGCTGAGCAGCATGCGGCCACATCTAGCGGGGTCGCATACAGTTGTCATTTTCTGCTGCTCTGCTGCAAATGAACCAAATGTAAATAAACAGCGGGGCTGTCTGGAAAACTCGCTGTGGGGCTGGGATGCCGCTAAGTGGGAGAGAATACGTGCTTCACACACACAGGCCAGGAGTTTGATCCCAGCCCCGTGATAAACAAACTAAACCACCGTCTAGAGTGAGCAGATGGGGGAGAAGAAAACACAGGAAGAGGAGGCATGGGGCAGCGGTGATCCCTGGTACCATCCGGTGCCCTGCGCAGGTGCCACAGCCCATGTGAGAGTGGCTGATAACACTCAGGGCTGCTCTGCCCTTTCACACAGACGGGTGATAATACAGGTGACCCGGAGTTTTTGTCCGTTGCTAAGCTGCTGTTCCAGGCAGTGGCATCTACCTTGGGAGCTTTGCCTTGGCGTGTGTTCAGGGGCCCCTTGCCAGCCTGGCACCTCCAAGAAAGACCCAGAACAAACACTGCTATGACCTTGGGAGGACCTAGTGTCCACTGGCAGCTCCTGGCCATCTGTCTTGTGACCTCAGGACCCTCTGACCTACATGCTCTATTTTCCCGCTGGCCACTCTAGACCAGCATCTTCGCTTGCCCATGGCCGACACGCTCAGCATCTGTCCTCACGTCAGCACCTTTGGTCTCCGTCAGCCGTCATTCCTGCTCTCAGGAACCTGGAGTCCCTGGGTGCTAGTTCTAGACTCCAGTGAGAGGATCTAGTGGTCTTCAGGATCCTGAGTCAGACTCCGTCCCAGCCTGTCAGCCGTGGAGAGGAGCAGGCAAAACTGGTCCAGGGAATGCCAAGGTGTGAGGGAGTCCTGTGAATGTATCTGAATCCTGGCACATTGAAGCGTGTAGCTAGACTGTTGCTTGAATTTCCTATTCCAGCCTGGCCAGCGCTGCAGACAAACCCAAGTTCAAGATTCAGTCTTCCCTCTTCAGGTCTCAGCTTGGTGTTTCCTCTGCCCTTCTCCGAGCCTCCGTTTCCTCCTTCACTTTTAACGGGAAGGAAAGAGCTTCCATCTTGTACTTGTTAGGACAGCAGAGTGAGGTGGACATGGCTCGGTGCGTTAGCTGTCATCTGTCCCTCTCCACAGATGGGACACCTGCAGTGACCGCCCTTCCTGGGTCCGACTACAGGTCTTCCCAACTCAGATCCTGTGCTATACTAGACCCCTGGTCTCACTGATTTTTTCTTCCCAGCTTGGTGTAGTGATGATTGGGGGTTTGCTGGGGCAGAATTGGCTGCCTCGAGTGGCCGTCCCTGGCACGGAGAAGCTGTCCAGAGGCCCGGCTTCATCCAGGTTTAAGGAGTCCTAGATGGTGTGGTGGCAGAGTGGCAAAACCATGTGATTCTGGGGGGTCCGGGTCAAGCTAGAAGCAACCTCCTTGTATCCGTATCCACCCCAGAGGGGTGTGAGAGGTCAGGCCATTCAGTTTGGCTGTCCCCAAGAACTAGGCAAGAAGAACAGCCCATGTGGGGCCATGATACCCCAACATTAGATGATTTCATGATTCCATGTCCCATTTGGCACACAGCCTTGATTTTTTTTTTTTTTAAGAAATGGCTTGGCTCACAAAGTGAGGGAGGGGCTGAGGCTTGGTGAGGAGGAGCAGCTGAACTGGTGTGAACTGGGGTGGTGTAACAGGAAAAGCAGAGAACTCAGAAGACCTGGGCCCAGTCACACTCAGCTGTGTGGCCTTGGGCCCACCCCTTTACTCAGTAAAACGTAAGTAAACAGCCAGCATTTCCGAAGCTCTGTTCCCAGGCTCAGTCCATTCGTTTAACCATCGGGACCAGTTTATCAGATTACACGGATGATCGAGCCCAGGCTCAGAGAAGCTCATTCGCTGGCCTAACTATACAGCTAGTACAGTAGTACTTGGATTTGAGACTGTGATACCCAAGTCCCTGGTTTTAGTCACTCTGCTCTCTGTTGCTGCTTTTGCTACCAGCTATGAGTTAAAATTGGTGATTGTGCCCAGAAGGGAAGGGGACAGTGGGCAGACACTGGTTGTTAGGTATCTTTTGGAGGTAATGAAAGTGTTCTAGAATTGGATAGTGGTCATGACTGCATGCTGTGTAAATACACAGAAAACTGCTGAGTGGTACATTTTAAAGGGTCATTTGTGGTATGTGAGGTATAGCTCTTTTCTCTTCCTCTCTCTCTCTCTCTCTCTCTCTCTCTCGCTCTCTCTCTCTCTCGCTCTCTCGCTCTCTAGCTTTCTCGCTCTCTCTCTCGGGGGTGGAGACTATAAGAAAGCCCCGAGTTGCTAAATATGGTCGGATGACTGGCAGACCCAGGCTGCTTGGGATCAGCAAAAAGATAACGGGAGGACATGACAGCAGTGTCTTGAGGTTCCAGACTTTGGAATTTGACAGCTGGGCTTCAGTCCAGCCCAAGCTTCAGTTTTTGTCAGACTGTCATGGCGCAGACAGCAGAACCCAGCTAGGTTGAGTTATCTCAACTCACATCTGTCAGCTGAATTAGCTGAGAAATTGAAGGACTTTCGGCTTTGGATACAACTAGGCCCAGGGCCACAGTGTCAAAGACACTGTGCCTGGTCCCATGCTGAGGTGCATGGCAGCAGCTACTGCTTGAGATGGTGTCCACATCCGTTACTTTGGTGGTGGGGGAAGAATGTCCCCTACGGCTTAATCTCATCTTGGACCATAGGACAAGGTGTTCAAGACCAGCACAGGGACAGAAAAACAGGGCCAACATCTTGATGATGTTTCTGGATACCAGCTGCCCGGCGGAATCGAGGAGGATAGCAGCTGCCCAAGGGCTTTGGGGAATCCAGAAAATTTAAACAAAGGAAACACTGTAAAGACTCGTGGTAGAAGGAGGAGCATGGCCCAGGCTACTTCATGGGAAAGGACATTGTCACCAGCAAAAATGACTCCATAATGAGGACTCACCTTCCTGATGCTTTAGAAAAGCTGTCCTCTTTTAGAAAGTCTGCCACTGAGACTTGACATCAGGCCATGTGTCTTATTCATGTGAGGCTGCAGGGGACAGAACAGAGCCCTGAGCTTTGAGTAGGAACCCCTGATTTGAGGTCCAAACCCTCGGACAGGTCACTCAGCCTCAGCTGTTGCTGTAGAGTGGATAAGGATGTCTTGGAGGAAGCAAACATCCAAGGCAGGCCTGGGGATGAGTGACTGGCGTGCCCACGGTGCTCAGGGAGGCACCCAGCAGAGGTGCATTAATATCAGCTGTTCTTAGCCAGAACTGTGAGGTGCCCATCTTAAATGCCATCTCACTAAATCCTCCCGCATGAGATCAGAACCATGACCATTTCACAAGTGGGAACACTCGAGTTTAGAGAGGTAGTCACATGTCCCAAACAGTGGGATCGAACCACCACCTCCCCGGAACCCAGGATCACCTTTGGATAAAAGGTGGACTTGCCCTCAAATGGGTTTATGGCCACATCTCCCCACTACAGCTTGAGCACCCCTGAGTCCTTTACAAATAATCCCAAACACAGGTCCACCTCGCACTGTGTTAGGCAACCTTTGTACTCTGAGTCCTCCAGACTCAGTATGTTCCCCTGGAGGAGGGTCACAGGTGTCACTGGAGCTCTACAGAGAGACCCCGTCTAACAAAAATGAAAAACAAAACAATTCTGATACTAGCTGTGATGACTGAACCCTGAACGCTGTGCACTGACCTGAGTAAGGCCAGAGAGAAGAGGACAGGTGTTTCACTACACCTGTACCAGGTACCCAGAGTAACCAACTGAGTCACAAGGTGGAGGCGGTGACACCAGGAAGGGCGGATGGAGAGCCATTTGGTGCTCTGGTTGATCCAAGACTGTGGAGATGGTGGAGGAGATGGGTGCCCACAGAGTGTACATAAGGCCGCAGAACTGTGTTCCCAGATATGGTTGAAAGCTGTATTGTATGTTGTGTTTGTGTAACACAATTAAAACATAAAAGCAAGACAGAGCTGGAGAGATGTCTCAGTGTTTAAGAATACTGGCTGTTCTTACAGAGATCCTGAGTTAAATTCCCAGCATCCATATGGTATCTCACAACCATCCATAATGAGATTTGATACCCTCTCCTGGCATGCAGGCTTACATGCAGACAGAGCATACCTATTCATAAATAAATAAATCAAGTAAAAGAACCAGCCACCCAGACCACTAAATTACTCCCAAATCAGTTTCCAAAGCAGTGTTACTTACAACCCCCTGCAGAGTGTCCCTCATTTCCCAAATGGCCACACAGGCTCTATGAATGCAACTGGTGGAGGAAGCATCAGGATTTCACCTGAGCTGTCTGCTCTAAGGGGACTTACCCAAGGTTAGACCAGTGGTGTAAAAGCCAGTGTGGACATTTGTTAGCAATGTAGCCATTCACTAGTCAGTGTGGGCACTTGCTAGCCAGGGTGGACACTCGTTAGTCAGTGTGGATGCTTGTTAGCCAGTGTGGACACTCGTTAGCCAGTGTAGACTCTCATTAGTTAACCAGTGTGGACTCTTGTCAGCCAGTGTGGACAGTTGTTAGCTCATGTGAACACTTGTTAGCCAATGTGGACTCTTTCTAGTCAGTGTGGATACTTGTTAGCCGATGTGGACACTTGTTAGCTAGTGTGGACAGTCATTAGCCCGTGTGTGTACAGTCATTAGCCAGATTGGATGTTTGGTAGCCAGTATGGACACTTGTTAGTCAGTGTAGACACTTACTAGCCAGTATAGAGATCCAGAGAAGGTCTCAAAGGTACCAAGAGAACTGAATGGGCCTTGTTACTGTGCGTTTTTGACAACATGCTTCTCATGGTGGTGTTTCAACTTTTAAAATTGAGAAGGGAAACAGAAATAGATAGCATTAGTATCAGTTTCAGAGCCCCTGCAGCTAAGACTGATGGGAATGTGCTGCTCACTTGTGCACAGAATATTAAGCTTTCCTTGTCTCAAGCTGGTTTTCCATATCCATGTAACCCTGAAACCAGCTAAAGATACTAAAGATATTAGGAAAATGGGATTAGACAACAGTATTTGGACAGGCCACACGGCTGCTTTGCTGTGTGACTTAAGGTAAATTCATTCCCCTCTCTGCCCTCAGGTTTCCTCATCTGTGACTTGTAGCATTTGTTTCAGAGAATTACTGTAACTGAAGGTGTTAACTGTCAACTGCTGTGCACTGTTGCCGTTGTTACTATTATTTTATATTAGTAATATGACCATATTCATTAGGGTTATTTAACTGTCCTCTGAAGTGATCTACTGAAGAAAAAAGTTCTCTCTGTTGAATTCATTGATTCTTTTTCATTAAACTTTTGTGTTTTGGAGTAGTTTTCAGTTCTCCATAAAACGCCTTGGAAACTCTAGAGTATTCTTGGGTACCACCCACACTTGCCAGTCTCCCCCACTGTTAGCATCCATTCTACCAATGTTTCTTGAAAGCCTGCTATGTGCTGGTATAGATGCACTCTTCAGAAATGAATCCATCTTTCCAAGGAGGCCCACAGTGGCCTTAGCAGTCAGGGAAAGATAGTGGACCAGGTATTCCTGTCCCCATGCAGGACAGAGTAGGGACCCATGATGGACAGCCACAAATCGTGCCATGGATAACAGAACCCGGGGTAGCCCTGTGGCTACCGCGGTGAATCTCTTGCCTAGCACGTGCAAAGCCCTTGGCTCCTTCCCTAGCACTGCACAAATCATAAGTAAAATCCACAGTTAAATAAATTCTCTACCCCAGGCTTCTGGAAGCCTGCAAGCTCCAGCTGCCCTGCAAGCCCAGCTACACCGAAGCTGGCCCTCTGCCCCAGGAATTTATATAAAATAGCACAGAAGAAGCCAGGAGCGCCAGCCTGACACCTGTGTCCCCTGCCCTCTCTGTGTCTGCTCAGCAGTCTTGCAACGACAGAGTCCCCTGGCCTTGCCACACTTGGGCTGTTTCTTCACCTCTCAGACCTTGAGTGCTAGTATTCACAGTATAGGGGTCTGAGGAGGTTGGGGGAGCAGATCCTGCTGAGATGCAGTACCTGCCTGCTCCGTGGACACATTTCTTCCTTTACCTGTGTGCCTACTCCCTCCCAGAGCCTCATTTCTCCTGGACTTTTCCAGCAGAGAGACAGTCTGGGAAGTCAGGGTGATGATGTCCCTGAAGCATACAGGTGGGGGCGCTTCTCACCTGTCGGCCATTCTTGGCAGGCCCTTTCCATCTGCTCTGGCTTCCTTGTGAATTAGGGTAGATCAGGATATGCTTCTGTAACAAGTAACCTCAGGGTTATCTTAGTGGTAGAGTACTCGTTTAACATGTGAGGAGACCCTTGGTTCAGTCCCTAGCATCACCAAACAAAGGAGGGGTGGGGACCGTCATGTACATTATTGAGCCAGGCATGGTGATGGTGGTGGTAACGGCAATGGCAACGGCAACACGCACCTTTAATCCTAGCACTCAGGAGGCAGAGGCAAACAGGTATCTGTGAGTTTGAGGCCAACTCTGGTGGCTAGTTAGCTCCAGTATAGTCAGATCCTCATAATGAGACTCTGTCTCACAAAAACAAAGACAAGAGCAACAAAAACAACCCCACCAGACAGCAGGGCATCTTGAATCCCTCATGGGCAACCAGGCCGTGGGCTGGACCATGGGTGGGGCTGCCGAGGCTCTGCACCCACCCCACCCCACAAGACCGCAGATGGCAGGGAATGTGAATCCCTCACGAGAGCTGGGTGTGGGACTGGGATAGAGAACAGCAAACCTCCACCCTGAAGCATCACGTGCTACTGATCGATCATTCGACGTGGCCCGCTTCAGAGGGATGGGAAAGTCAATTCAACCATTGGTTCAGAAACATGGGACGTAGCTGCAGGCAGCCCAGCCCAGCCTTAATTTTAACACAGTGCAGTGATAAACTCTCATGATTGGGGACCCAGAAGAGAAGATCCTTAAAGTTACATCAGAACACACAAGAGTTAGGTGGCAGATCCTTGTGACTTTGAGTACCTAGCCGAAAATTTCATTAGTTTCTTTCTTTTTCTAAAATTAATTTTTTTATAAGGTCTGACTACATAACCCTGACTGTCCTGGAACTCACTATGTAGACCAGACTAACCTTGGCTCTGAGATTAAAGGTGTGTGCCACCACACCCAGCTTCCCTTCTGTTTCTTAAAATATCAGAATGCGGTGGTTTGAAAGAAAACGGCCCCCAGAGGTAGTGGGACTGTTAGGAGGCGTGGCCTTGCTGAAGTAGGTCTGGCCTTGTGGGAGGAAGTTTGTCACACTGTTGGGGCAGACTAGGTGATCTCTTTTGCTCAGACTTCACTCAGTGTGACACTTAGTCTACTTGCTGTTGCCTTCTGATCAAGATGTAGCCAGCACCATGTCTGCCTGCATGCTATTGTGCTCCCCACCGTGATGATAATAGACTGAACCTCTGAACTGTAAGCCACCTTAGCTAAATGTTTTTCTTTAAACGAGTTGCCGTGGTTGTTGTGTCTGTTCACAGCAATAAACCCCTAACTAAGATACAGATTTTCGTGGTATGCCCCCAGCTCTAGCCCTCTCCCTGCCTGTTTCATGGTTTTTCACACACTACTTCACAGTCACCAGATTGTTTCCTAGGCTCTTTTAGAGACTGCTTATCTTCATGGCTGGCTCTTAGCACGCTACACAGCACCAGGCTGGGCTCTGCTGAGCAGGTCGGGGATTTCGCAGTAGCTCAGGAATAGAATGCTGTCATAAGCTTAGGCTTACCAGGTGAGGGATATTTTAACACACCTGTCACTTCTCGAAATGCAGAACGACCTGCTGTCTGTGACAGAGTTGTCAGGCTGTTGTTCACATTCCAAGTCTTATGGCTTAAACCATCCAGGAACCCCAAGAATGGTAGGTAGCCTGCAGAGATGCCTCAGCGGTTAAGATCATGTATTGCCCATGCTTGCAGAGGGCCCAAGTTTAGTTCCTAAAACTCTCACCAGAAGGCTCACAACTGTCTGTAAATCCAGCTCCAGGGGCTCTGACATTTCTGGCCTCTGAGGGCACCTGCACGCATGAGGCACAGATGCATATACATATACATATAGTTTAAAATAAATCTTAAAAAAAAAAAAACTAAGAATGTTCTCCTGCATCTTTGAGCTTTCACGGTTGGGGAGCTGTGCTCAGTTGCTTTCACACGGGCCTCAGGTCCAGCCTCATCCCCATTGCCTCGGCTTTACCTATCTCTTTAGGATGTCAGATAATGTCTATATTGTGAAAGGTTTTTGCTCTTCTTCCCTCCCTGTTTAGATGCAGATGTTGGACAAGTTCCCCATGGAAGGAGGGCAGAAGGATCCTAAGCAGAGGATCATTCCGTTTCTGCCAGGTAAGGTGCACACCCTTGGACAGGGCCAGCCTGGCCCCTGAAGAACAGCTCCCGAAACAGCACAAGAGCTCATCCCCTCTCTCACAGGGGGAGGGGCATTGTTTCTCTCCTTGTTTGCTTTTCTATTGCTGTGACAAAAACCACAGTGAAAAAGCAACTTTTGGAAGAAAGGGTTTATTCCATCAGTTACACTTTTCTGTCTCAGTCTATCATCAGGGGAAGATAAAACAGGAACCGAAGCTAGACCATGGAGGAAGCTGCTTGCTAGCTCTCCAAAGGCTTGCTCAGCTAGCTCTCTTATACAGCCCAGACCACCTGCCCAGAGGTGGCTCCACCCACAATGGGCTGAGCCTTCCACATCAGTTATCAATTAAGCACACGTCACTCACACGTGTTCACTACCACAGGCCAATCAGATGGAGGCAGTTACTCAACTGAGTTCTCTCCAGTTTGTATTCTGTTGACATGGGCATAACCATGCCAGACTGACCAGCACAGCTCCACTGACGGGAATCGCAGCCAAGGACAGGAATGACTAGGAGTGGGCATGTGCCACTGATTAGCTGTGAGACCTTGGGTAGGATCCTGCCGCCTAGGATGCTCAGCTTCTCCCAGCTGGAGTGGGAGCCGGAGCACCGGGGTTTTCACAGTCAGCAGCTCGTTGGTATAACCACTGTGTTCATTTTCTACTTCCTGTGTCACACGTTACCAATAGTTTAATAGCACAACATAATAGCTATTATTGCCTCAAAGTTCTGTGGATCAGAAGCCTTGGCAGGCTCAGCTAGGTTCCCTATTTACCCTTAAACGGTCAAAGCTAAGGTGTTAACCAGGCACAGCCTCCTACCTGGAGGTTCCACAGAAGAACTGTTCAATCTTACTCGCTCACATTGTGGTAGAATCAGTCCCCTACACTCTGCTTGATGGCTCTCAGCTGGGGCCCTCCAGCGTCTGGAAACTGCCTGCATTCCTCATTACAGGGAGCAAGTGATGGGACATAGAATTTTCTGGCACTTAAGATCCGTCCAACCTCTGTGTCAGAGAAAGCTGTCTGCTTGGAAGGTTTTGTGTGGTTTCCAGGCTGATCCAGGGTAATGTAAGGCATGGACTATCCCATCGTATCCACAGACTCTAGGGATTAGGGCAGAACATGTTGGGGTCATAGTACAAAAATCTACCAAGCACCTTGAGTGCCAGGTGTTACAGCAGCTGCTGCAGAGGGTGCGGTGCAGTCTTGGCAATGCCGAGGCTTTAGGTGAGAAAGAGGGATTGCGCAGAGACAGAACCTGCTCCAAGCTTCACCGACTGCCACTTACAGCTATCACTGGATACCAGCGCTGGGCTGAGTGCTTCACCCCAATCACCCCCGTTCATTCCCTACAGGGAATCAGTACTACGCCCCTGTTACAAAGGAGGAGCTAGGGCCCCGAGAAACCACAAATGGCATGCATGGTTGGCAGACCCTGGATGCCAACAAAGGGGTGGCTGGCTCCAAGCTTCATGCTGGAGTCACTTCCAACCTTGGCACCCTGGGCGCACACACAGCCCTTAAACCTTGGCAAATGATTCATGAGCATGTTGATTTCCTGCCTTGTAAGTCAGAGACGAGAACGGTACTATAAAGATGGTGCCCATGAGGACTGTGCATGTCTGTCAGGTCGCTGAGGGCCATTGCTCACTTGCTGCTGTTACACACAGATGATGAGCACATGGACAGTCATCCTAGTCTCAGTACCCATGGTTTGAAGAGCTCCCCAGCTCCCTCCTTTCTTGGGTCCCTTCTACACAGTCGGTAGGTTCTCAGAAGCTATCAGCTCAACTGGGATAGCTGTGTTTGCTAGGCCTCCTCTGCTGGGAAACTCCTTTGCCAAAAAAGAAAAAAGACAGAAACCTAGCATTTTTAATCCCTCCACTGGGATAGCATCAACCACACTGGAATTTTTTCCCCCACTGGAGAGAACCCCATGTGCCAGCTGCAACAGCCAAAACTCAGGGCTGCAAAAGCACGTGCTCTGGAGTCAGCCCTCCTCAGCCCCGTGATTTTAATCCCTGTTCCCAGCCTCCCCCTCGCCCTGCACCTCTGTTTCCACATCTGTTAAATAGGACAGGGAATCTGCTCCACAAAGTTCAATTCCTGGGCACAGAATAGACTCAGTAAAGAGGTGAGTCTTGGTCATTCCAGAATGGAACCCCCAAAGGCAGGCCCCCCGACTCTCCTCTTGCTGCCTTTTCTGAATAACCAAGAATGTTCAAGTTCAGCCAGACTTTCTTCAAGAAAGAGGGGAGCAGTAAGCCTTACTGTAGCCTTCTCCTGGATGAAAGGCAAAAGTCAGCTCTGGAAACTTCCCAAGGCGGAGAACTTGAGCCTGACCCTCTCCCCAGCCCTTAAAAGCCTTTGTGGTTACGTAATTCTTTTCCAGCAAGAATTCATGCAAATGCTGCTCTCGGGGCCTAGCCCCTTTGTCCTTGTGCCCACTTTCAGCTTTAGATCCCCAGGGGTCCCGGGACCTCTGGCCCATCCCTTCTGAGCTCACTTCTTAGCTTTTCTCCAGGCCAATGCCTTGGGCAGGAAGTAGGTCTCCTCTCCTGAGGTCAGGTCTCTACCCAGACTGCCTTGTCAGCGAGACAAAGGCAAGTTTCAACGTTAGCACAAAGGGGGGGGGGGGGACCAGTCTGTGTGGACTTTCCATCCCAGCAGGAGCTGGGGAGGCCAACTTGGCAGAGGATGCAACTTGAAAACTAAGAATTGCAATTGGCCTTTTTCCCCTGTGGAAAACAAAGCCGCCCATTCCCACCAAGGCCTGTCTCTCTCCTGAACACCCTTTCCACTCCAGTGTGGAGGCAGCCCCACCATCCTTCCTGACCCTTCCATGAGACTCAGACCCTTGCCCATGCCGGCTGTCCTCCCACTTCAGAGAGGCATCACCAACAAGTAGGAACCAGGCTGCCTGGTACCTGGCCTGAGTGTATCCTAGCTCTGATGTGCCTGGCCTGCCTCCGAAAGCTGAGGGTGAGAGAAAGGATTAGCGTGTTCTTAACCAGAGTGTCATGCATCCCCACTTTGCTTGGGGGCCAGTGAGCGCGGAGTAATTACTCACCTTTGTAAGCTCTACCAAGGGCCAGGCTCTGGGTGTGTTGTGGAGGTGACCTCGAAGACTGGACTCTGTCCCAGTTCACAGACTCCAGAGGCCATTGGCTCTCCAGGCTCACAGTGTGGGAGGGATTGGTTGTAACCATCTAGTGAGCTCTTCTCCTGCTACAAAGTGTCTCCAGAGGTCCCTTCAAGGCTACATCTTTGGTCCTTGTATCAACCCCAGGAAACGCTGGGAGCACTGATGAATTACCACCCTTTGGCTCCTTCCAGGGTGAAGCCTCAGCATTGGGCTCTGGCTTCCTTCACTTTCCATTGCGTTGATAATCAAGGCCATAACAACACAAGTTGGGGAGTGAAGGGTTTATTTAGCTAAGACTTCCATGTCCCAGTCTATCTTTGAGGGAAGTCAAGGCAGGAACTGAAGCAGAAACAGGAATGCTACTGCTCCCTGGCTTGCTCCCAGCTCATACGGCCACCTTTGCAAGGGTGACACCTCCCATAATCTACAGGACCCTCCCAAATAGATCATTAATAAGACAGTACCTCATAGGTTTGCCTACAGGCCAATCTTATGGAGACATCTTCTTACTTGGGCCCCCCTCTTAGGTTTCTCTAGCTTTTGTCAAGTTGGCAGCAAAAAAATAAAAAATTGCCCACACAGACTCCTTAGTTGGGCGATGGCTTTGAGACAAGTCTGCTCCCTGCGCTGTAGATTGGCAGAAGCCATGCTACTTGTAAATGCTCTGAGCCCGCTTACTACCTTTACAGTAAGAAGACTGTATGCTGCCGTCCTCCCCGGATGTGCAGAAGGAAACTGCCACCAAATGGGATCACGTTCGTTTTGGTTGAGGCTGGGATCCTCTCCCACTTTGAGAACCAGACGAACAGCAGAAAGCCTTGGCTGCCCAGGGCTGTACTGTAGCACCCTCGCTATGCCGTAGCACCACATTCCTTCCCAGTCATGAAGCCTCACAGGCTTGGGGCACTTCAGTGGAGTCTAGATTGCAAACAGCCCTACTTGCAGAGACCTTGAAAATGAGGAGGAGGGCTATTTGATTGTCACTGTGAGTGGGGCTGGGAAGGCCGCTGGCTTGGATCTGGAGTTGAATCGGAAATGATGGGTTGGGGACAGTCCTGCCCTGGAAAGAGCACCTAGAATCCCAGCAGAGCCTACTGGCCGCCCCCACCCCTACCCCAGTTCCCATAGGGATGGCTCATTGAGGAAAGCAGGTTGTCACCACTGTTCCTGTCTTCTGTGGGAGGACGTTTTTATGGTTCCAAAAGCGATAAATAAGATAGAAGCTTCAGGAAAAGCTTGGATAAGAAAATATTACCTGTGCCTGCCACTCAGAAGATGGGGCACTTCAAACCCTTTGGTGTATTAGCTCCTGGATTTTTTCTTTTCTTGCAAGCAAGGGTAGATCAGAAAGGCACAGAGTCATTAAATAGCTCACAAGCTTGGACACTTAAGGCATGAATAAGGGAAGGAAGGGGGACTAAGTTTCCGCTCTGAGCTGCCTGCGCAGCCTGAGGGTCTCAGCTTGGAGGAGCCCTGCCTGCAGGGGTCCTTCCACATGATTTCACACAAATGCAGATAGTAGAGAGGGGACCTCAAGGAAGGAACAGGTAGAGTAGTGGTTACCGGAGCCGGGGAGAGTGGAGAGCGAGCCTTGGGAGAGGGTGGGAGTGGCTATCCATAGGAGAAGGCGTGGCTGCTGATTCTGCAGCACAGCCTGGAGCTGCTCCTGACAGCTACAGATTGGATTTTTTTTTTTTTTTTCAAAATAGCTGGCAGAGAAGCTTTGGGGTATTTCTGACAGGAAGGAGAAATGCCGGAAGCGAGGGCCATGCCAGTCATCCTGATCACTTTAATTGCACATATCACTTTAATTGCCCATAAATATGTATGGCGACTGTGCCGTCTACTGTGTTTAACCTACTCCTGGTGTGGAGGTGTGGCTGATTTCATCACAGAGCATGTGCTTAGCATGAACAAGGCTCTGAATGCAAGCCTCATAAAACTAAAACGCTCTCCCCCATGAGCCTCGTTCTCTCTAGCCATTGTGCTACAGCAGCAGAGTTCGGAGGACCCAGCTTTGCCTCAGCTACCCAAACTATCTCCCCATGCAGCCTGGAGATGCTGAGGGCAGCCAGGAATTTTGGGACCACTCAGGCCCTTCCCAGACAGCCACTTGGGGTGGCAGGGGGCAGGTCACTACTCCCTGCTATGCTGAATGTGTTCTCATCTTCTGCAGGCAAAATCCTCTTCCGCCGCAGCCACATCCGGGACGTGGCTGTCAAACGCCTGATACCAATCGATGAGTACTGTAAGGTAAGCTGGGATGCCAGCACCATCTTCCCTCGTGGGTGTTCTGTTTGTTTTCCTTTCTGCGTGCCAAGTGTTCATGGGAAGGTGGGAAACAAAACAGAACAAAACATAAAATTCCCCATGCTCCTTTGGAATCAGCCCAAATCCACTTTCAGCGGCTGTGTGGTGTTACCCTGGGCATGAATGTTCCAGTCAGCATTCAACCCCCATTCTTGATGGAGCAGCTAGCCTCTTGCTCCCTGAATGTGCAGAGGGAGGCCTGCCTTCTGGTGATGTTGAACTGGACTGGAGTGGAGTGGTCGGGAAGGAAGCATGTTTTCATTTCCTTTGCTTTCTCTGTGAGGTGAGCATAGTCAGATCACAGGATGCAGGTGCCAAGTGCAGTCACCGGTTGTGTCTGGAGCCAAAAGTGGAGTTAAGAACGCACTTCCACTTGAACTGGGGCGATGACTAAGTCAGCAAAGTGCTTGCGACCCAAACATGAAGTTCTGAGTTTTACTGAGCACCTATTTTAAACGCTGAGAGTGGCATTAAGTGCCTGTCATCCTGAGCATAAGAGTGGAGATAGGCAGGTCCTGGGGGCTCACTGGCCAGCCAGTCCAGTCAGCCAGCAAGTACTGGGTTCTGTGAGAGACCATGTCTAAAAACTGAGGTGGAAAGCAGTCGAGAAAGGCACCCAATACCAACCACTGGCCTTCATCTGCACCCATCCGTGCACATGTACACATAACATATACCACATACACACACAAACACACATATCTACACGGAGGGGGAGATTCTGCTCACGCCAGCTTCAAATAAAAAGTAAAACTCTTAACAGTGTACTCAACCAAAAGTGCAGGATTAATGCACTGAACTGCAGAGCATGGCCAAGCAAAGTTCAGAGAGCTCTAAGTAAAGCTGGCTGTGGTAGTGATCGCCTGTATTCAGCACCCGGGGGCAGAAGCAGAACTCTCCGTGAGTTCAAGGTGAGCTTGAACTCATAGTTCTAGGTAGCCAGGCTTGTATACTGAGACCCTATCTCACAAACAAACAAACAGAAACACTTCTAGCTAAATGGAAAGGCATGTTGTACTCATAAGTTGGAGGAGTATGAATTTCAAAAGCAGCCATTCTTCTAAAAATTCTTTCTATATGGACTGAATCCTATAGAAATCCAGCGTGCTTCCTAGTGGTTGTCTTAGTTGGGGTATCTACTGGTGTGAAGAGACACCATGACCATGGCAACTCTTATAAAGGAAAACATTTAATTGTGGTGGCTCTCTTACAGTTTCAGAGGCTCAGTCCATTATCATCATGGCCAAGAGCATGGCAGCATGCAGGCAGACAGGGAGCTGGAGAGGTAGCTGAGACTCCTATACCTTGCAGGCATCTCAGGAAGTTGACTGAGACACTGGGCAATATCTGAGCATAGGAAACCTCAATGCCCACCCCCACAGTGACACACTTCCTCCAACAAGGCCATGCCCTCTCCAACAAAGCCACACCTCCTAATAGTGCCACTCCCTATGAGATTATGGGGGTTAATTCCATTCAAACTACCATAACGGTGCTAACAAGATCAAGTGTGTGTGTGTGTGTGTGTGTGTGTGTGTAAATGCAAAAGACCTTGAACGACAAGTCACATTTGCCATTTTCTAGACTCCCTACAGGGCTACAGTAACCCAGACTCGTGGTGCTATCCCAGGATCCATGTGCAGATCAGGGCACAAAGCTGTGAACCAGGAGTAAATGTTCCAAAATGCCAGGCTGAGTGATACTCAGTGAGATGCAGAAACAGGTTGAAGAGGGGAGAGTTTTTAATATACAGATGGGACAGCTAGCTACTGCATAGTTCGTCGGGGCCACAAATCATCACAGACTTGGGGTTTCAATAGCAGAACTTGGTTTTCTGTCACTTCTGAAAGCTAAAATGCAAAGAGCAGGGTCCCCCAGGCCTTGTCCTTGGCTTATAGTTAGCTGTCTGTGACTGTACAGGACATGTTCTCTTTATGTACCTGCACCCTAATCCAGAGGATGCCATTTATATGGATTAAGGCCCCCTAATTATTTTGTTTAATCTTCAATTACTTCTGTAAGGACCTGCCCCTAAATACATAGATCCTGAGAGGTGAGAACTTTAATATACAGATTTGAGGGTGAATGGAGGACACTGTTCAGCCCACAGCGTCCGTCCGTACACATGCAAAAATACAATGCACTTGAACCCTTATTGCATACTCTATACAATGATCAACCCCAAAGGGGTCACAGGAGCTTGAGATATGGCTCGGTGGAGAAAGTGTTTGCTTCTGAAGCAGGGAAACCTGAGTTTGGATTCCCCAGCACCCATGTAGAAAGCCAGATGTGACAGCGTACATCTGTAATCCCTTTGCTGGTGAGGATAGAGAATCTCAGGGGCTCAGTGACCGTCGAGTTTAGCTGAATTGGTGATGTCTAGATTCAGTAGACTATCATCTCAAAAACCAGGTGATCAGTGATAAGGGAAGACTTCCAGGTAGACTTCTGACCTACACACACACACACCTGTGCGCATGCACGTGAACATGTGTGCAAGCATGCACAGAACAGACCACAGCCCTAAATAAAAGAGCCAAAATTATAAAACTTACAGAAGAAAATGTGGAGGGGATCTTCATGACCCTGGTTTAAGCAATGAGTTTTTAAATGTTTACATGAAAAGTAACAGTCCTTAAGAATTAAATTTGGTCAAGTTAGCCATCATCAAACCTATTGACAAACTTCTCTGCCAAAAAAATGAAATGCAGGTATAGTGACACACACCTTTAATCCCAGCACTTGAGAGGCACAAACAGGTGGATCTCTGTGGGTTCAAGGCCATCCTGGTCTACAGAGTGAGTTCCAGGACAGCCAGGGCTACACAGAGAACCCCTGTCTCAGGAAAACAAAGTAAATAACACTACTAGAAAAATTAAAAGATGTGTCATAGACAGGGTGAAAATATTTGTGAATAACATTTGTAAGGGACTTACTGAGAAGATATAAAGAACTCGTGGTAACTCCAGCATCTGGGAGGCACAGGCAGGCAAATCTGAGTTTGAGTCAGCCTGGTTACAGACTGAGTTCCAGGACAGACAGGGCTACACAGAGAAACCTTGTGTCAGGAGGAAAACAAACAAACAAACAAACAAACAGTGACAAAAGAAAAAGCCTCCTAGAGCTCCAGAATGAAAAGACCTTGGGAAAGTGTTGTAGGAGGCCACTAGTTAGTTCCCGGCTGCTCAGCCCCAAAATGACCACACAGAAACCATATTATTTGCAATACTGTTTTGCCAATAGCTTGAGCGTATTTCTAGCTAACTCTTATATCCCAAACCAGCCCCAGTCTCCATTAATCTGTGTATTGCCACGTGGCTGTGGCTTACCAGGTAAAGTTCCAGCATCTGTCTCCATTGGGACTCCATGACTTCTCTGTGACTCTGCCTTCTTTCTCCCAGCATTCAATTTAGTTCCCCCCACCACGCTCCCCAACTACCCTATTACAGGCTCAAGCAGTTTTTTTATTACTCAGTGGCATTCACAGCATACAGAGGGGAATCCCACATCAGGGAAGAACTTCAGCAGGACCCTCACTCAAGAAGGGACAGGGATTCAATAAACCTGTGAGCTGGTTGTGGTAGTGCACAACTTTAACCCCAGCACTCAAGGAGCAGAGGCAGAAGAAGCTCTGTGACTTCAAGGCTACAAATGAGTTCAAGGTCAGCCTCTATTACAAAGGGAGAGCCTTTTTCACAGATAATTAAATAAATAAATAAATAAATAAATAAATAATAAACACATCAAGAGATGTTTAGCGTTGTGAACCAGTGGACTCATGCAAACAGGGACCATAGATTGTTACCAATCATGGGACAGTTGTGCCAGACATTATCAAGGATCTGAAAAAGCTAGAGCCCTTATCTTGGTGGGACATAAGATGAGAAACCACATTGGGAAATAATGGGGCAGTTTCTGCAAGACTGAGACAGAGAAAGACCACAAAATTCCAGGCCAGTCTGGGTACATAACAGGAATCTGTTTCAACACACCCCACGAAACACACGGTCAGCCCTGGGTCTACCCGTAAGAGAAAGCTTATGTCTGCATGGAGTCTTGGATGCAGACACTCCTAGCAGCATTAAGTCATAATAGCCAAATGGAAGGGACAGTCTACAACTTGATGAGATCAAGCAATTAAATTTGGGCAGATTCTACGACCTAGATGGATCAAAGACATATGATGTTAAGTGAAAGAAACCAGATGTGAAGTGAGTGACCGGATGAAACGCACAGGTTTATGAGCACAGAAAGCAGATGAGCTCTTTCCTGGACCTGGGGACCGTGGGCGGGTAGAAGGGCCGCAAATTCAATGTTTTGTGGGGATGAGGCTAGAACTCTGTAATTTCCTAAATACTGAACTGGGCATTTGCAGCAAGTAAGCTTATGGCATGTAAATTATACTGTAATAAATCTGAAAACTTCTATCCAAAAGGGGTCAGTTCAGGACAGATGGCCCCTCTTGGTCGGGCGACATCTAGTAAGGGCTGGAAATCACTCTTGATGGGGCTGTCTGCTCCTGCTCAGACGTGACCTTGTCCCATCCGTCCAGTCACTGTGCAAGGTGGACGGACTTCCATATCCCTGTTGTGTAGTTGAGGAAAGGCAGCCTCATTGGCTACTCTTAGTAACAGTGTCAAGGGCTTGCAAGTTGAGCCCAGACACAGCACCCTGTGTACCAATTACTGTCTGAAGAAATAAAAATGGGAGAGGTTGAAGGACTCGGGCCTGGATTGTGTCGCAATGCTATGGTCTGAGTGTGGATTGAGAGGACTCCTCAGATGTTCCCATGTTGGATATTTGACCTTCAGTGTAGCAATGTTCAGGTGGCAGAGCCTGTAAGAACTGGACCTCGTGCTGGTCTCAAGTGAATTGGTTTTCTCAACAGCTTGCTGTTGTAAAAACCAAGACTGTCTGGTGCTCTTGTTCCCTCCTGCATTTCT